AAACTTAATGGGAAAAAAAAAAAAAACTCTTTTCAATCCCCGGTACAAAAAAAAAAAAAAAAGGAAAACTCTGAATCCCCAACATCTGAAAAAAATATATACATATACATATACATCTCACTTCACAAACTTAATCCATGATTTTGGAGAAGATGGCCACATTTGTGTTTGCGCAGGAATGATAGCCACCGTCATGTTTGTCACCCAATGTGGAGTTTCCAAACAAAAACAAAATTTTTCCAAATGCTTTTGTTTGCAAATCAAATTGTTCACAAACAAAAGGAATATACTGAGCACTCACCTCTACCTGAGTAACATTGATGACCAGCACCACCACCATCAACACTGCAAGCAGACAGCAGAAAAGCCGTAGTTTGAAGAAATTGGTCCACATTGTCCAGCTGTGTCCTGATCACCCATGGCCGACACCATGCTACCTTCACTGCTCAAAACTCCATGTCTTTTCTGAGATACAGATGAGCTTTCAGTTTAACTTGCTTCTGTCCATCTGGTAGCCTTAAAAATTCTTTGTGTAGAGAAAAGACTACAGTTTATTCAAGAAGCAAATTCTTCCACAAGTTCCTTCAAAGAGGGAAAACAGAAGTACATCACCAATTGCAGTAGACAAGGGTGGAGTAAAAGGAAAGGAAAAACACATATCCTCTTCCAGAGCCTTAGCTACAGCCAGAAGTTGCAGAGTGAGCAAACAGCCAGAACACAGTAATATTCCATTTTAATTAGTTTCCTCTCTCAACCCCAGGCTTCTATGTAAATAGAGTAATATTTGCCCTACTACCTATTTAGGTTTTAACTTTTAGGAGAACAGAGAAGAATGTTTTCACATTCAGAAATTGTAAAATAAAGTATATTTCTATGGAGATCTTAATAAATAAAATCACTTCCTTTCCCTTACAGTTTAAGTTATATAACATTATTATATTAATTATATTTAAAGAGTATCAAGAGAAAACCTTGTGATTGTATGTGGCACTCTGGGACATTGTGCAAACCACCCTGACACTCTCTGGAAATCAATAAGTGCCTCCCCACTCTTAAGGCAGAAACAAGAAACAGCCTTTGGGTTTCTGGCTCCTCCACTGTGTATGTGGTCCTTGTTCTCCTACAGTTAAGTAACAAGGAATAGGAGGAAAAATGGCTTCCCTGAAGATTTAGGGGATGAAAGTTATATCTGAGGAGGAGAAAACAGGATTCTAAACTTCTTTATCACACGTCAGAGACAGAGGACTTCAAGATCTGCCACTCCTAACTATCCTCCCATATAACAAATTCAAAATATATTCTCCACTTGCTATTTTGAAACAGGTAAAAAGAGAAGTTATTAGTATTTTATTCCCATGGACGCTTTCTATGGAAGATGACGTATGGAGGAAAAAGTGGAAAGCATACATAACCATGGCACAGAGTATCTCAGAATAGCTCAGCTGCATCAACACTCCCTTCAGCTTTGAGTTTTGTGAACAGGGAGGCCTCCTATTCTCTCACTCCATCTGTCTAAACCATTCTCTGCTTGCAAAGATCATGCCAACCCTTCCCCAACTCAGCTTCAGAAAGGAAACAAGACTGAGCTATTAACATGTTCTCTAGCCTCAAAATTCCCATAGGACTTATTTTCACTTCTTAGCTGATCTCTATTTGTATTTCTTACCTCTTCAGTTATGCTATAACAATTATGACTGTATTTTAAAAAAGAAAAACAAAAACGATGTATCAGAAAAAGCAACTTAATGATAATACAACATGCTTTTTCCGATTCCTTCACAGTACTAAGCTCATTACATAGAATATATTAACTCAACAATCTACACAACAAATAATTACAAAGGTCCTCTCTATAATACCATGCAATGTACTAAGAGCAAAAAAATTCCCCTTGAAAAGTTTACACTCACACTAAACAAAAGTTCCCTTCTTAAAGAGGAATAAGGGCAAGAAATGTGACTCAGTGGAAGAGCAACTGTGTAACATGCTAGAGGTCCCGTTTCATCCAAAGGGAACAGAAGGGGAGGGGAGGGGAAGGTAGGTAGGATGCATCCCATGGACTATGAAAGATATCTTATTGCTCCCTCAACAATGTCCCTCTCCAGTAACAAGGCATGAAGTGCCCCGAACTGACTATAAATTCTGAGAAGGAAATCACTGTGAAATAGAAAATAATTCTGTCACCAGTATTCCAAATTTTCTGCTAAAGAAATTCTTCTCAAAGAGCTGACCATAAAAATCATACCTTTTCCTAATGGTCTGAGTGAAAAAAGACCAAAGATGATAAAACATAGGAATTTAGCTATACCATGGGCAGGTGTGGTCTGTGGGTTGTATGGACACCAGCCACATGAAGAATGTCAGTGTGGTTCAGGGTCAGCCAGCAGCAGCGAAGGAGTGGTCAGCAACACAGAAGGATGGCAAAGGCAGAAGATTCAAAGCTAGAGGAACTATTAGGGCTCTAGGCAGCAATGCAAAAAGTCCCTCATAACTAGAGACTTTTGTTCCCCTTACTTATGGAGAGTCACACAAGAAAAGGCCCTGACTTCCTGCTGTAAGCAAGTAGAGCACTGCCATTTGAGAGACCAATTTGTACACCTATGCAGACACAGCTTGAGGTATACTAGATAGATCTTTTTGAAAGACATGTACTGAAAATAACTCTGAGCAGGTTGTTTTCTCCTTTATCCATATGTCCTAATTTTTCATCAAGAAATAAAAATCACAAATATAAAGAATAAAGGTGGTTTTATAAGTGAAAATTAAAGATCAGATGTAAAGAAAAACAAGGTACTAAACTATATTTAGGGAAACAATTCAAGTTAAAATGAAAGATTTCTAAGTGAAAAAGGAAACCTGTAGTAGGTTTCTATTACTTTCCTACAAATATAAAACCTAGATATTATCACATGAAAACAATTTGCAAGGGGAGCAGGAAACTCATTTCGTATCTCAAGTCACATTAGAATCAAGAACACTAGTGCCAAGGCCCGGGGATTTAGCTCAGTGGCACTGCGACTGCCTTGCAAGCTCAAGTCCTAAGTTCGATCCCCGGTACCAAAAAAAAAGAATATTAGTGCTGGACAGGAATGACTCCAGAAAAACATTTTTCAGATCAACCAAAAAATAAAATACATAATTCAGTGTAATTTACCTTTCTTGAAAATTTCCTTAGAAGAGATACTTATTAGAAATAAGATAACAGAGTTTAAAATAACTTTCCTTCCAGCATGAAATGCTGAACTCAAGCATCATGACCAGTAGCCCTTATTCTCTTCTTGCCAAATTTGTAGCACGCACTGATGCTTCTTGATTTTTATATCATTGCTACAAAAGAAATAAACACATGATTAAAAGGTTAAAGATACTAAAAATCAAGTAAAGGAAAACATCAGAAATTTAGAATACAATTTTATAGGCAGAGAAGTATGCACAGACAATGTAGTAGAAGGAGGGGTAACAGAGACATTTCCTTTTTCCTACTAATACAAAACAGTACAGTAACTATTTACATACATTAACTTCGATCTGGAAAATCACTGTCAGACCTTAGCTGAAGGTCAAAACTCTAACTGGCAGTATGAAGTTTAACTATAAAGCAAAGCTAAAAGTTCCACACAGTACATTTCTTAAAGACTACATAATTATGTGGTGCAATGAGCCATTCTCTCACTATAGAAAACATAAAGTACAGTGGACCCTCAAGTTATGATCAGCCTGACAGAACAACTTGGGTTAATTAGGTTAATGGAAGATTCATCTGCCTTGTGTTATATATACCATGTACCCAGATAAATATCCAGATCTCAGCTTACTGACTTACAACCAACTTGAGTTACAACCAGCCCTCAGGAACCAATGGAGTTCATAAGGCAAGGGTCCACTGTATCTGTAGTATTACAAATTTAAACAAAATCCATAGTACAAGGAATCTAAGCTTGAACAGTCTTGTTTTCAAGTCTTCATTAAGTATCAGAATACCACTTACTCGTGATTTATTTTTATGTGTAAAGGACAGACAAAAAGCAAAATGCATGGTCTGTCTTGTAGGTGACGCCCAATAGCTGTTGGGATTGTTTTGCCAAATTTTGATTAGGACTACTTCCAAGTCCAAGGTACATACAACCCAATGGCTTATAGCAACAACTGTATACTTCATTAGGCACCTGAATACCCACTCCCCTCTCACAAGAAAATTACAAAGTAGTTGCTTACATTACTAGGAATTACAATTGTCAGTAACACAAATGAAATATCTGAATTAAGGGCAAAACAAAGACAACTTGACAGCAACCCCATCCTCAACCCCATTCACGATAATATACTACAGGACAACTACACATCTCCTGTTTCTGAGACTGGCTATTCTAAATATTCTGACCTGTTATCCATATAATTGCAATTCCATTCGTCAAAACAAGTGTCTGAATTCAATTCAGAATATGCACTCCCCTACATAAAAGGCAAAAGCACAGATTTATATGGATGGAATACAACCAAACATAAATGGTTATGTTTCAAGCTTTTCAAAGAACAGCTGTATTTCACAGGATACTGAGTAAGACCTTGAGAGTTAACAGAACAAGATCTACAGAAAGAACTGGACACTCATCCAAGATCAGGGCAATACTGGGTCAATCACAGAGGGTCAATCCTTGAACGAAGATGAAGCAAAAAAAGTAATGTGCCAGACTTGTTTCCAAAGATTTCACTTTCCTTTCATGTACCCTACCTCAATTCCCAAAGTGCTGACTCACCTAGACCTTCTCTTGGCCTTCTTCCAAAGCAAGGCCCAGTCATTCGAGGAGATTACAATAGCAGTTGAGAAAGAAATAAATTTACTTAAATAAGTCATATAGTACTAAGTTCTAAAAGAAAAAATGGGGCATGTTGATAGATCATGGTTCTCAATCCTGCATGTGCTTTAACAATCATTATAGAAGCTTTAAAATTACCAGTGTTCTGCTGCACAAGCGCAAGTTCAATCCCCAGTACAAAAAAAAAAAAATACCAGTGTTTAAGGGCCCAAGGGTCTAATTAAACCATGTGGGAGTAGGCTTAAGAAACAATTTTTTAAAGGTCACCAGATAATTTTTAGCAAAACATTTATTGGTATATTTTAGATATACATAATGATAACATTCATCATAGGGAATTTGTACCTGTATGTGATATAACCAAATAATTATAATATAAAGTCAAGTAGGAGAACCACTAGTTTAGAGCGGCCAAGAGTTGTTATTTGTATCCGTTAATAAGGGATGGCCTTTTTGAAAAGTTTTGAATGTCATCTCAGGAGCGACACCATCCCCACTTCAGTAACCTAACCTATCCCTTCCTTTCTCAGTAATAAATAACAGCACTTTATCAACCCTGGAGAGATTGTGAGAATAACAAACACAGAAAGAAGATACTAAACATAAAGGGAAGCACAACCCAAACACTATAGAGGAACAGTATGATGCTTCATCCAGACTGGGATTAGACAATTAATTATTGGGGTCTGAGGGTCCTGCCAGCTTACAACACACCCTGAAATTACACATGGTAGTTAACAGCAGCGAAGAGGGAGTAGTAGGCCCATCAGAGCAGTGTGATTCTTTATCTCCAGGGAATGTAACAACAATCCTCCTTTAGAGTAAATAATGAAAAGCGGGATAAAATGTACAATTTCATGCAAATGTTGCATAACCCAAAAACCTCTCTTGGCACCACCACCCTATTGGCCTTCAGTAAAGCAGCACGGGCGCTGGGCCAGCGTCTCCGCTTCATACCTTGCAAAGTCACACTCGTTTCTCTCCATAGGACCCGAATCTGATGTGCCAAAACCAGCTCAGTAGAACCAAAGCAGCCCAACGTGTGGCGGCATCGCCAGCCAAGGGGTAGCAGGTGGCCCAAGCAGCGCTGCGCCCGCAGACGAGGGATATAGGGACGGCACAGACAAGCGACCCACTGCCGGGGAGGGGAGGGACGGGCACAGGGCGTCTCCAGCGGTCCCCAGATGCTCCAGCCCGGACCCGCCTTCTCAGTGCCAGGGCTCCGGCTCCTTCGGTCCTGGGCTGCGACACCGGGGGCTCCAGCCCTGCCAGCCTCCGCCTTGGCCCGGCCCCCTCCCCAGCACCACCGACCCTCCCAGCTCTGACCCCAGAGCGGCACGTCCCCTGCACCCGGCGGGCACTCGGGTGCCGGCGCGCTAAGGAAGGGCTCCGCAGCCCAGGAGCGCGCGTGAGGAGCCAGGGAGCGGTCGCTCCGGCGGCAGGAGCCCAGCCGGAAGCCCTCACATAGTCCGTAGCCCTGCACTCACCACCGGACCCCACCGCCAGCCGTTCACTCTCGGGCAGGATACAGAAAACCGGGTTTGTGTCCGCAGAGCCAGGCCTTACGGCCCCTGCTTCCTGACCCTCTACGTCTCCTCACCCCCGACCCTCTACGTCTCCTCACCCCCGACCCCCGACTATGATTGGTCGAACTCCGGACGGGGCGGCCCGAAGATTTTGATTGACAGCCCCGCGCTTGGAGCGCGGAGCGGAAGAGCTAGAACTCGGAGTCAGCTCTAGTCAGGCGGTGCGGACGTGCTCTACCGAGCGAAGAGACCTTGGGAAGTTAGCTTTTCCCTGGAGCATCCGCCTCAAGGCTTTTTCTCTGTCAGCGAAGTGACCACAACCAGAGGTGATCTTGTTTCAATGTCCTTCATAGACACTAGTGAAATTTATTGTTCCAGAGAAACACAATTTGGTAAGTGCGAGCATGGATATGACAGGTCCTTGAATCTTTCTTTGCTTGAAATTAGTCAACTTCTATTCACACTTGAAACAACTCTCACACGATGTGGATCTCCTGGCAAAAATGCCAGAATCCCCCTCCCCATAAAATTCTGTGTTATCCTATTTCAAACATTCTTCTGATAAAAAATCAATACCCTTTACGTGAAATTGAGGGACTAAAGAACACTTAGAATCACTTTCTCAAGATCTCATAAGGGTTCACTGGCTGCTCCATTTCTCAGAAGTATAAGAGCATAACAGGCCTGAGAGGTCGCCTGCCTGCCTATTATCCCAAAGTTGAAGAAAAATAATTAACATAAATTACAAGAGTGACATTAATTATTTCATATTTATTGACCCCAGTGGACTCTGTGTGTTCCTTCAGTTGTTTTCATGGCAGCCCTACATGCATGAGTAACCCGAACCACGAATGGAGTAATAGGAAGCTCTGCTTTAGCATTGTCTCTTTTGGATAAACCCTTTCGTTCTTCTTTGGAGGCCATAAAGCCTTCTGGTCCCTTTTGTATTCATAAAAAGGGTTTCCCTGCCTCTGTTCCTAAGGAAGCCCCATTTGCTAAATTCCTGCTCCGATTAAGCTTTATCTTCCAATAGGTGGACCCATACTTAACAATTTGGCTAAAGAAAAGCAGATATACAAGATATGATTTCTGGATCATAGCTTTGACTTGATTAACCCCATTCACTCTCAAGCACTCTCAATTTTAACCCTGAGGCATTTGAGTGATTTTAGGGATATTTTACAGCCACATCCAAAAAGAAAAGAAAGGAAGGAACAAAGGAGCAGCTGGACCAGAAAGACTTGTCCGTCTCTACCAGATTAAGATTTCTCCCTGAAAAGTGTTCATTATCTGGAAATTGGATTAAAAATGTTGTACATGTACCAATACAATACTATTCAGTCATAAAAAAGAATAAAAGTCTGTCATTTGTGACAACATAGATGAAACTGGAGATTTTTGAAAGTATTGTGAGTGGAATTGTTTTCCTGATTTCTTTTCTGGCGGAATGTCTATTATACATTTTAGTCCTTCTTTCTACTTTTTGTTTCTCACACCAGACAAACAATGCAGTACTTAAACGTGTGTTCGATTTATTTCACTTAAGAGTATGGTCTCAAGATGCATCCATTTAGCTACAAACGTCTGAAGCTCATCCTTACTTATGGTACAGTAGCAGTCGATTGTATAATTTTTAAAAAACCCACATCATCTTTATCCATTCATTGGTTGATGGGCATTTGGGGTGTTTCCAAGATTTAGCTATTAGTTAGCTGCTATGAACATGGGTGTGCATATCTTGCTGTGGTATGATGCATTTAATTCTTTTGGGAAGATAACCAGCAGGGGAATAGCTAGGTCAAATGGAATCTCCAGTTTTAGTTCTTTGAGGAATCTCCACACTGATTTCCATAGTAGTTGCACCAGTCTACACTCCTACCAACTATGGAGAAGGGTTCCTTTTTCCCCACAGCCCCTCCAGCCCTTGTTATTCATTGATTTCTTGTTAACAGCCATTCTTTCTGGAGTGAGATGGAATCTCAGTGTCATTTTAATTTCCATCTCTCTAACGACTAACGATGTTGAACATTTTTTCAAGTATCTATTTGTTTTCTCTACTTCTTCATCTGAGAAATGTCTATTCATTTCAGATGCCCATTTTTGGATTGGGTCTTTAAATTTCAGGTGTCTGACTTTTTTTTTAGTTCTTTATATATTCTAAATAGTAGTCCTCTCTCTGAGGAATAGCTGGCAAAATTTTTTTCCCCACACTGTGGGTTGTCTTTTCACTCTGTTGGTGGTTTCTCTTGCTGTGTAAAAGCTTTTTAATGAGATCCCAGTTATCAATTCTTTGTGACAGATCCTGTGTGACTGAGGTTTTGTTACAAAGGTCATATTTTTAATGATTCCTCATTTTAATTTTTTGTTTCATAGGCCAACTACAGGTCCTAATTTGTGCATTAGCCAGAGGTATGTATGGGATGGATATGCAGAGATAAGGGACTTTTGGAGCCAGACAAAACCTCCCAGAATGCATGATTAAAGATTAAAAGATAGCTTACAAGGCCACAAGTGCAAACAGGATAAAAACATAGTGCCTTAAGAAATGAATGTTCTGGCCCTGTCCTCCTTATAATCCAATTTATTACTTAGACTGCCCTAAGGGCAATCACGTAACAGACCCTGTCTGTTACTACGGCTTGAGTTTAGATTTCCTCCCAAAGCCTTATGCAGTTATAGGCAGGGCTTTTTCAGAGGTGGCTGGATCTAGAGGGTGTGATGCTGGGATTAAGGGTGTGTGATGACTAAATTAGTCCACTGATTAGTTTGGCATAGTTCTGAGTATGGATAATGGAAAGCCCACCCTGGATGTGAGTGCTTCCTGCCCTATGGGCCTGTGGCCTGGATATGACAGAAAGAGGGCTGCTGGGGCTGCTTGCTGCTTGCTACTTCACTGCTTTGCTGCTTTCTTACATTATACCTGTCATGAACTGTTTCTCCTCTGTAATGGTCCTCTGCTATGTGACCTTGCCTTGGAGCCAGGCAACTATGAACTGAAACCTCTACAAACTGTGAGCCGAAATAAATCTTTCCTCCTTTAACTTTAGGTGTTGGATATTTTGTCTCAGCAACAAGAAAAGTAACTAAAACATTGCCCTTCCCTTCCCCCCTACACGAATTCCTGCACAGATGCCCTTCTTTTGTCCTTAATTCTTGCTTCCTGGTTGTATCAATAAAAGTTACAGAAGCTTCAGTTTGGGGCTGTCTTTATGAGACTCGTGCTGGGGGGTCTTGGTTAAGGGCAGTCCCTCTGGAACTTCTTGAAGTTTGAATTAGACACTGACTCAAAGTAATCTCTCATACTTTCTAACATGCCACAGTCATGAACTTCAACACTAACTGTATCAAATAAGAGGGCTTCTACTCAGTTACCCACTAGCACTTTCAGTACCCATTGTCTTCATCAGCACCTTACAGTGTCAGCTGTGCTCTTTGAGAAATATGTGCTCTTCTGTGTGCAGAGAATTTCAGTATCCTAGAAGTAATGAAATCTAAACTGAATAAAACTACATTAGCATTCCTTTCACTTCATATCCATTTTCATAAGGCTAAGACTGTTTTCTTGTAAATTCACTTATATAATGACAATACTCCACACTTTCCTCAGCTGAGTCTTATTTCCAGTCTGTTCTGAAGTTTATCCATTAGTGGCAAATAATGAGTAACAACTATTACTACTGATCACCAAAATAAACAGAGGGAGGCATTCAAATGCATAAACCTTTTATTTAACATTAGACTCAAATACAAATTAAATAAGTATAATATAAAATATTAAGCTTTCACACAACAGAATATAACCACTTTAAATCACCATTATTTCTATAATAAAATTAAAATCTAAAAATAGTCCAAAACCAAATTATTTTAAAAGTCTTATTGTCAACACTAAAAGTATTATAAAACATGGTGCTGAGGGTGTAGGTCAGGGGTACAGCACAGGCCTAGCATGAGCCAAGCCCTCAGTTCCACCCTCAACACCACAAAAAAATTAAACAAAAAAAAATTAAAATTAAAATTTTTTAAAATTAAAACACTTGAATTTATGTACTCATAAACAAAGTCACTAGAGAGTGATTCCTGTTATCTACTAAAATCAATAAAAATTAAAATTTAGTGTGATTTTCATTCATTCACAGATTGAAAAGCAACTCATTTAAAAACAAAATCCAGGGGCCGGGGATTTAGCTCAGTGGTTCCGCTGCCTGCCTCGAAAACACAAGGTCCCGAGTTTGATCCCCAGTATCAAAAATAAATAAATAAAAATTAAAAATAAAAACAAAATCCATTTTTCTCCAAGGCTGCTTTGTTCACCTGTGTTGTAATTTTAATATGGCACAACAGGATTGATCAGTGAAGGTAATATCATTAAAAGTGTTTAGATGCAAGTTAGGCATGGTGGCACACACCTGTAATCCCAGCACTCTGAGAGGCTGAGACAGAAGGATGTCAAGTTCAAGCCCAGCCTGACCTTGTCTCAAAATTAAAAATAAAAGAAGGTTTAGAGATGTAGCTCAGTGTAAATGGCCAGGGTCCCCAGTACCACCAAAAGAAAAAAAACGTGTAGATGCCTATAGTTCCAGCTACTCTGGAGGCTGAGGCAGGAGGACTGCATGAGCCCATAAGTTCAAGGCCAGCCTGGGCAATATAGTGAGACCTCAAATCAAAAAAAAAAAAAAAGTTTAGAATGTTGCTTAGAGTTTCTGCTTCATTTCAAAATGAGAGTATCATATATTTAAGTTTTAAAACATTACAATACAATAAATGCCTTTTAATAAGGGGTTAGAAAAATAAGAATATACATTAAACAATGAAGTCTTTTTTCTTTATAAATGGGAAACCGATCAGACTCATTCTATATTTTCTCTTTTTATTGTCTTAATTCTCCAGAAAAAGCTTTTTCATTTTTAATGTTATAAATCCAATTTTAAGATCATAAAAAATAAGTACTAAGGGAGATAGTATAATATGTAAAACTTGTATATTCCTGCAAACATTTATAAAAAATACAACCAGACTTGTCTTAAATAGATAACAGGAAAATACCCTATTATAGTGTTTATATATTTAAAATAATCCAAAACAGAGAAAAAACACACGCTTAAGAATGGCATCCACATTATTAAAAAATAAAGTTATTTACATATATACAAAACAACTATGTGGCTACATAGATATTTTCCTAAAACATGCATATTGTGATATCTTTTATTTATTTTTTTTTTTTTGAGACAGGGTCTTGCTATGTAGTGCAGGCTGGACTTGAACTCACAATGTAGCCTAGGCTGGCCTCAAACTCACAATAATTCTCCTGCCTCAGCCTCCTGAGTGCTGGGATTACAAGCATGTGCCACCACACCGGGCATATCTTTTATAATTAAACTTATAATATGAAACTAATTGAATATTATTAATTGTCATGATTAAAGCTTTCTGTACACCAAGAGAGTTGAAACTTTAACATCTATTATTATGTAAAACTGAAGATAAAATATAATCAAGTTCAGCATTTCATGAGAAAATTTTACACAATATATGCACATACAAATATTATTATAACTGTTCTCTAAATCAAAATCGCTGATGTGAATTAAAATAGTTCAACTGAACAAAATCTCTGGCTTAAAAAAGCCACCTGTCTGACATAAGGGGGGGGAGAAATTTAAAAAGGGGGGGAGCCACAAAAGACCATGTTCAAAGCTTAACTTGTCCAAAACTTATCAGACCAATTCTCTCTTTGGCCAAACTAAAAAATAGCCCAGAGTTAAAACCAAATATCTTAGTTACATGAATTACTTTTAAATTACACTATAAACCCACTAAAATATATGAAGTCTATGTCTCAATTTTTCTACATTCTAAATTATATTACTTCCATTCTGTCTACATTCAAGATACTCTATCCCCCATCAAAAAAGATACTCTATTCTTGTACTCCTAAACACTAGCAATAAAAGTATTCTGAACACTATTTATGGACTACAAAAACAAGCCAAAGGTAAAAAAAGGAAACCCTGCTGACATGCTTATAATTAAATGAATGTAGTTGTATTTGCCATTACTTTTAAAAAAGAGAAGAGGAAGATGTTTTTAAAAACCTACTTAGGTAATACTGAAACATGACAGTCAGCATCTTTTGTGAAAAATTATGTACCATGAAGCAGTATTTAGGTGCTAGGTCAGTGTAAATTGGTTTCTCTTTATCTAACCATGGGCAGCAAAGGAGGCACTTAACTGTAATATAGAAAAATAGGGTATATTTAAAAGAGATTCAAAATCATTCACAAAAGATAATTATTTTTCAAAACCTAAGCAATTTAATTTTTATTTAACATGCAGTCAATGTTACACGTTTCACTAGGGAAAATTCTTTTGAAGGTAAGACTTCTGTTTTGTTTATAACAGAAAACATTTCTTCTTTAAAGGATTCTGGATTTCTAGGAAAGAAATCCAAGTCTTCTCTACCTGAGTGCTACACATTTATAAACAGAAAAATATAAAGGACCATACTAAAGGAACATTTCTAACTATTAACAAAGTGTACTGTGTCATCTTCAACTTTATTCTTTTTTTTTTTTTTTCCCTGTACCAGGGATCGAACTCAAGACCTTGCACCATCCCCGGCCCCTTCAACTTTATTCTTGAAGAATCAGAATTGTTTATTTCATATACTTTCAAGGAAGGAGAACTACTGACTCTTAAGAAAATAATTAAGAAACATTTAGCACCCAAACTGAGAGAATACTAAGTATTGCCATAGTTTTAAATAGGTACATTTCCGTAGTTTGGGGAAAATCAGATAAGTGTTATCCATCAATCTTAGAACATTCTAAAAGATTAAAATACCAAACTTGGAAAAATTACATTTTTTTTTTTTTTAGTACCAGGGATCAAACTCAGGACCTTGTGCTTGCGAGGGCAGACGGCGGAACCACTGAGCTAAATCCCCAGCCCAGAAAAATTACTCTTGATTTACAAATGTATCCACCTACAGCATTCAAAGACACAATCATATTTCTTCCTCAAGTTACAGGTATATAGTCTTTCTAAGAAGTAAAATGGGTTTACTTTTACGTAATTATTATTAAATTGTCTTCAAAGGTGGCACTTTCCAAAGAGTAGATTAAAACAAATCATATTCTACTACTAGTATTATTTTAAATGTTCTTGACTTACATGGCAGAGGTCAAAAGTGAAGTGAATAGTCTTGAACCTTCTGCTGAAATACATATTGAAATATAAACACTGAAGATGAACATACATTAACTTCTGGCAGTACACTGGCACATATATGCTTATCTATAAAGTAAAAACATTTAATGTAAAGATATACATTTACCATGGCAATATTCCAAGTGAATGGAGCCTAGCATCTCCTTTTTTCATATCAAAGAGAAATGTTCTTTCATGCCCAAGTAGCTTGATTTTAATCTTAAATGGAATATTTTATTTTGTATGTTAAAACAGATGCATGACATTGACGAATGTTTTTCATGCGATAATTTAATCACCCCCACTAAGAATCCTATCATCTACGGGCTGAGGAAAGAGCTTAGTGGTAGAGTATGTGCTTAGCATGCTTGAAGCCCTGGGTTCAATCTCCAGCACCCAAAGGAAAAACATAAAAAGGTATCTTACACTGTTTCTTCTTTAATTTGCTTACTTTCTTGGCTCAGAGGAAGGCTTAAGAAAACACCTTCTTACTCCAATGAGACTGTCTGGCAAATTTCAATAGTTCAGAATCTTCATATTTTCATTTATATTTGTTTTTAAAAATTGCATTCCTTGGGCCGGAGATTTAGCTCAGTGGCACCATGCCTGCCTCACAAGCACAAGGTCCCGAGTTCAAGCCCAGGTAACAAAAAAAAAAAAAAAACTTGAATACTGAGGTTTTAGTTTAGAAAAAACACTCATATATTAACATCTTTTCTTAAAAGAAAAACAACATATGCCACAGGTTCCCCAACAATGTTCTACTTTATTTTTTAAAAGAAATGAATCATTGTTGATGCAATTGTTGATACAATAGAGAATTATTGTTGATCCAAGTGTTAAGAAATAAGATACAGGGCCAAGGATTTAGCTCATTGGTTCTGCTGCCTGCCTTGCAAGCGCAAGGTCCCGAGTTCGATCCCCGGTACAAAAAACAAAAAAAGGAATAAGATATATATAACTTTCAACATAAAGAGTATAGTGCATTATAGCTAAAAAGTTGAATATCTAGAATCGGAAAAATATGAGATAAGAATACAAATTTTATATAAATAGTAACAAAGTGAAAGGAGTTTGCACCCCTTTGCAAAAAGGCAAGAAAAAAAACATTCTTAAGAAAATTAAATGGACTGCTGCTTCCCAAGAAACCAGGCAAACTACACAGTGACACCAACATGCAGTACCTGAAATGTAGAATCACATTCTGGCTGCTGCCCTTGAACTTCTGCATTTAACTTATAACTCTCTGGTGTCTGCCTGATTTCATCTTGCAAAGTAGGAGATATGCCATGAGTCTCATCTACAGAAGCCCTGTCAGACAAGGTATCTAACTTTTCCAGGGAACAAGCTAAGCAAAGCTCACTATCTCCTGTCACTGCATCAAAATTAGTCCTCTCATCGGCATCTTCTAGCTGCTGAACTGAAGTTAAGTACTGTTCAAGCAGATTGTTATCCTGCTCATTGGCTGAGTTTTCCTTATCCCAGTCACCACTGTGTTCTTCACTAACATCCCCCAGATCTGGCTCTTTGCCATATTTGACTGTGTCAATGGAATTTCCCATTATGGAGCTTTCACTGCCTTCTGTGGAACTTTTTTCAAAATCCAAGGAATCCTTCAAACAATGAACATCTTCTGTTAGGGTAGAATGAAAGCCAGAGTCTGGAAATTCTGGTAAGAATTTATCTTGAAGAGCTTCATCATAAGCAATGAACCAATTAGAATTTTGATCAGGAGAAGGCTCCTGACTTTGGGTGAATAAAGGAGGTTCAGCTGGCACCAGGGTACTTGATACAGGAGGAACATCAGTATGCCAGGAAATTAGACGCTGGTCCACTGTCTGTTGCCAAGCTTGTAGAGATCTTACCTATAAACCAGAGGATATAGTCTTATTATAAGATAAAAATCATGCCTGTTTTAAAACTGTCCTTTGAGCTTTTTTCCAGTAGTCATGAAGCAGTAAGTGGTAGAACCAGAGTTAAAAACTACCAGACGCTCAAAAAAAAAAAAAAAAAAAAACTACCAGACTCATGGTGTCTCTCATATGAGAAACCCAAAATATAAATAAACAGCAAAATAAGATAGATGTCTAGGAGGAGGAGAAGAAGCGGCTGCAGCAGGAGTGGCAGGAGCTACAGCATCAGCAAGAGCAAAGGTAGCTACAGCCCAGGTGGTGCCTGTTCCAGTCTTTGCTGCAGTAGTCCCGCAACCACGGGGGTGGGGTGTTCACCAGTCGCTGAGGAGCAAGAGAAGGGGGAAAGTTTAGTTGAACTGGGGGGAGGGGGGGAGACAGGGGGACACATGGGACACACCAGAGCCACGGGAGAGAGGGAGCCATGTTTTGGTAGGGTGGAGTCAGACTGTAACTGGTAGCAGAGTGGTCCTGTCGCCCCCACACACACACACACACATGTGGACCCTACACCCCTACTCTTGCCATTCTTGCTACCGCCTGTGGCTTAGGATCCCCATGGGGCTGAACCTTTGGGTCTTGACCCCGTTTCTCTCCCCGTTTCCTAACTCCCCCACGAGGGGGGAACATTTACTCCTCAGATTATTGCCCTTCATGGGGGGGCAAGGGTGTTGGGGGGAGGTGTCCAAAAAAAATTTTTAAATAGAAAAAAATAAAAGATAATAGGAAGTAGGGGGATAAGTCTTTTGCAAAAGGAAAGAGAACTGAGAGATAGAGAGATGGGGAGAGAGAAGAGGATTTTAAACAGAATTAACATGTGTTATGTATACATACTATTTCTCCACGAGGAATGTAATCATTATATACTGCAAATATCCACCAGTAAAAATAAAAATAAAAATAAAAAATATATAAAAAGAAAAAAAAAGGCCTGACTCCTCTAATCCTTTCGATAGCATCCCTAGCCTAAACCAGGTTGGCACAAGTAATACATGTCCTTGATAACAAAAAGCTCTCACCAAGACACTGGGAATGGTCTAAAGCAATTTCCTCCTGGTAGAATAACAAAGAAGAAACTTGATACTACATGTCTTACTAATGGTTTGATAATGAACCTCTCAAGCGCAAGGTCCGGAGTTTGATCCCCAGTACCAAAAAAAAGTATAAATGTCAAAATTTTACTTAAAATTGCAGGCAAGAAAGAAATGCATAGAATTTTTTATTTTTCTTTGTCTTTCATGACAACCACTTACAGTGGTTTTGTTTATCCTTTCAGATCTTTTTCTATGTATTTGAAAATGCATAGAGTTTTTAAAATCAAGTGGAACTTTAAGCTCTGCATCTTGTTATTCTCTAGGAGTATTATTTTGGAGATTTTTTTCATGTTGGTTCATACCGTTGCCTCATTCTTTTTTTTTTTTTCCTTATTCTTTTTAACAGTTCTATAGTATATTACACCATTTCTATTCCTTAGCCATTCCTTTATTGACAGTAATCGTGAAACTTTAAAAAATAAAAAAAATTTTATAGGCCAAATCTTGTAACAAATTATTTTGTAAAACTATTTCCAAGAAAATTATCATGAAGAAGTATTTTATGTAATACATAATAGTAAAACCAATTGCCTAAACTGTCTCTAAAGTGTTGCTATTACTGGATTCAACCCTTCTCTCCCAAGCATTCACACATACTTTTTAGGTCATGCACACTGTAACCATCATATACTATCATATCTTTTGTCACTTTTCATTCAAATATTCTCAATAGATAGCCATATAAAACTTCAAATTGGGTTTAACATCTCTCAAGCCACTTTCCTTTGACTTTACATTACATTTTCTTATCTAAATAATGAAAACATTTTTCTCCAGATTAAATAAAATGTAATGAAATTCACTGTCCTAATTCAGAGTTAGTGGCAAAGAACAATATCCACATCCTTCACCTTGAGAAAAGGTGGTTCAATGGTAGAGTGCATCCCTAGCATGGGTAAAGCCCACAGTTAAACCCTCAGTCAGAGAGACATAGAGGCAGAGAGAGACAGAGACACAGAAAGGGATAAATAAGACTGACTACTCTATGATTATCCCAATAAATCTAAAATTTTTCTTCATCTATGTATTAGTGAAATAAGCAGGAGGAGGTTTACCTGGTTCCAAAGAAATCTGACAGCCTCTTCTTGTACAACTTTTTTAACACGTTCTTCATCTCTTTCTTTTCTTAATCTATATCAAAATATGTTAATGACACAAGGCTGTTTTGACTTGTATTTCTTGTTGCAACTATTAAATACATGCATTGCAAAAAGATTAATAATCTAATAAGTCTTTTCCACTTTTAGAATATCTAAACTGAAACCTTAGTTTTAAACTATGACTCAAAGTATTGGCCAAATGAGATGTGACTCAAAGTCCAGATGTTGATTCTACAAAGTATTGCCACTCCCAACATTCCTCATCCATCACTCTCTCTCATTTTTTGAAGTCCTAGCTTGGATCATTGCTGCCATCTCCATAGGCCTATTACAAACCCAAGCCACCCTCAGATTATCATTCAGATTGTCACCACTATTTTGTTCTGATGTATTTTTGTTTTTGTTTTTTGGCAGTGCTGGGGATGGAATCCAGGACAATATGTGTGATAGGCAAGCAGTCTACCACTAAGCTATACTCCCAAGTCCTCTTTTGAACTTCTGACCCAATTCTCCACTTTCTCTAGTCTCTCAAGACATTCTCTTGTGCCATCTGGTGCTCTTAAATTATAATCAGCAAATTCTCTTATATACCTAACCTCTCTCTGAGAATCAGTTCGGAGAGCACTGTAGTTTTCTCTAATAAAAGCTATTTTTTTGCCTCTTGCATCAAGGTCAGAAAATTGCTTCTCATTGATCCTTTCAAGTACCTTCCTCCTGTATAAACTGCTGCTATCCTGCTAAATTCCTTGTAACATCTTTTGTCAAGTACTGACATCCCACTATCCATCCCCATTCACTGATGTCTCAGCACCAGCTTTTCTCTCTGCCCCATTCCCGTCATTATTGTTGGAAGCCTCAACATTCACATAGATCAGTGGTGGCAAACCTTTTAGAGACTGAGTGACCAAACTGCAACCCAAAACTGAATCAGAAAAGAATAACTATGAATTGCTAATGAAAATCTATAATCTGACCTGTTTTTTATATTTTGGTGGGGTTTTTTTTGTGGGGGGGGGGGGTTACCCGTTATCGAACTCTGGTCCTTGCGCTTTCAAGGCAGGCAGTGGAACCACTGAGCTAAATCCCCGGCCCTTTGTTTTATTTTTTTAGATGAGGTCTATGTTCCATAGGCTGGTCTTGAATTCCTGGACACAAGCAATTATCCTGCTTCAGCCACAAAAGTAGCGAGGACTTCAGGCTTGCTCCACCATGCCAGACTCCATTAGTTCACATTTAAGCTGGTCACCTCACATATCACACTTCTACCTCATCCCTCTTCTCATTTTCATGTATTGGCCATATTTGATACATTACTGAAAAAGATGACACACCAGAAAAGACTTTTCCATCCTCCCAACATCAAACATACCACCTCACTGGCTCCTGCTTCTACCTCAGGCTACTTCCTCTATTTATGCACTCAATCCTTCTTCTCTCACCTTCTCCGTAACTTCAATTGTGTTCCTCTCTTCTTTCCTCTACACCTCCAGTTTTTCCTCCTTTATTGAACCATACCTTTCCATCAACACATAAATATACTCTGTATCTCTCATCCTTAAAAAAGAATCTTCCTGGGCCAGGGATTTAGCTCAGTGGTTTCACCACCTGCTGCGCAAGCGCAAGGACCCGAGTTTGATCCCCAGTACCCAAAAAAAAAGAATCTTCCTTAACTCCAGATTCTCCTCCAACATTCACCTACTCTCCCCTTAAAGCATCACTTCCTAAAAGCTGGCTACACATTTTCTTTTAACTCTTTACCTTCCATTCACTATCCAACCTATTCCAAACTGGCTTTCATCCCCCTACACTACTGAAGATGCTCTGAGGAAAGTCACTGTGCAGGAAAGGGTTAACTTGGCAAGACTGGGATGTTCTGGCCCTGCATGTTCCAAAGATAGGACAATCTCCTAGGAAATAACCTCCATGCCTTTGTAATATCTTAATGAAAATGGTATCTTTGTACACCTGAGGTCTTGGGTCACACAGATAGTTTATGCTAAAATGTGACTTCTACTAAACACTTGGTTTGTTCACCTGGGGCCATGGGCCATGGTGTATCAGTTTGACCTCTAGGGAGCTTGAGGTCTTAGTAGTTAAGGTCACATTGACATCCAAAGAAAACCTGGAAACTGATGCTCAGGTGCACTTCCTTCCCTGGTTGGCAACACTTTATGATCACAAATCATTTCTGTGAAAATTAAGCCATCTGTACAATTCACTTGGGATACGACAATTGGAACCTTGTATCTAGTTTCTCCTGGACTCTGCCCTCAAACATTGTATGTAATTTTTTGATGATTTTAATCTGTATGATTTTGTTGTAGTAAACAGTAACCAGGAACAGAACAATTTTCCTGAGTTCTAGTACATTTAGCAAATCATGGAACCTAGGACAGTTTTGAAGATCACCAATCAAGTCACCACTAACTTCTTACTGGAAATCTAATGTGTAGTTCTGTCTGCTTCCTGTGGCACCTTTGATCTCTTCTGAAACACTATGCCCTCCTATACCACTCTTGCTATCCCTTCTTGATCTCTTTTGTTGCTTTCAGTGCTTCCACCTAATACTAATAAATACTGCTAGTTAATACTAATGAAAATACTAGTACTACTAATACTAATGAAATCTTAATTTTCCTGGTTTGACAATCAATAAAACATGTAAGCCATGGAATTAAAGAAAAATTCCTATGGTTGCCCCAGAATTTTAGTCTCTTTTGAATTCTTGGTATTTTTCTCTATTTCTTAAGTCATTTACTGGATTCTATGTAGCCTTTCTTAAGTCATTTTTTATTTATTCACTTTTTCTACACTGTCTGTACCTCTCTATGTATAAAATTACACATCCTCATACAGCTCATGTTCATTCGATATTTTTTGAGACACTGCATCTATGTACCAACCACTGTGCTGAGGATGGAGATGCACATGACAATCTGTGCCCTCATGGTGCTTTCAGTATACTGTAGGAGACAAACAGATAAAACAACAGTGGCTACATGGTTGTGATGTGACCACAGCAGGATAGTACTCTGAAACAACTTAAGAAACTGATATCCCCGGAGGTTGGGGATTCAGCCCTGTGGCAGAGTGCTTCCCTAGCAAACACAAGGTCCTGAGCTTGATCCTCAGGAACAAGAAAAAAAAAATTTACACCACAAACCAACAAAACAGCACACAACAGGATTTTTGACCCACCTCCTTACTTCATCAGTTAAGCAAACAATGTGCTCCTGCATTCTTCGTAGCCGGATTTCATAACGCAGCTCTTTGGCTTGAGGGTTGTAGCTCCTAGCATAAAAGCCTCGCCAACAGGCCTGAAGTTTGGTGGCTGCTTCATTCAATTTCTGAAGAGAAACTTTATCTTGTCCCAAAGCAACAGATCTCTGAGTTAAAATCCTGCAAGGAAGTTTCTCTGAAGTTGTTTGAGACATGGTTTCTTCACTATCTGGCTCTGTATGAGAGACACTGTGTCCAGCTGACTCAGGAAAACATGTAAGACTGTGGTTATCATCCTTTGAGACAGCACTAATTATCGTTGGCTCAGGACAAGATAATAGCCCACTTTTCTCATTTACCTCTGTACTGATCTTACTTTTCAATAGCTGAACAGAATTCTCATTTATATCCCATAAAGCCTTTTCCTCTTCCTTATCAAAGTCCTGGATTTCCAGCCCTTTCAAAGATTCATCCACAACACCAGCATCTTCTAGGCCCAAGTTTATGCCCTGAAGCCTCAGTTCAACTGTAGGTGATACTGGAGACAGTCCTGATGCAACTGGCATAAAAGTAGATTCTGAAGAGAGAAGACTACAGTTTAACTTGTCCTCGTCTGTCTGTATGTCTTCCAGGTGCAGGTCATTTCGAGAATGTCTTGTAGTGTGTGCAGAGGCTGGAAAGTTATTCTTGGCAGCATGTAATTTGTCATCATTATTGCTTATCCCAACCCAAGAATTGACCTGGACAACAGGTTCTACAAGAATCAACAGAGCATCATGTAATTTACAAAATATTTAAAGAACTTTTTTAGTTGTATCCTTTTAATGAAATCTAATTCCTGAAATATAGTAAAATAAAATAAATGTCTTCAGTGATTTCCTACAATATGCCTATAACATCAAACCAAACTTTTTTTTTTTTTTGGTACGGGGATTGAACTCAGGTCCTTGCGCTTGCCTAGCAGGCGGCAAAACCACTGAGCTAAATCCCTGGCCCACCAAACATTTTTAAGAGCACAAACTATTGCAACAATCAAAGCCTCTGGTTCACATAAAATGTAGCAGTTCTTGAATTTTTTTTTTTTTGAGACAAGGTCTTACTATGCAGTTCAGGTTGGGCTAGAACTCACTATGTAGCCCAGGCTGACCTCAGACTCATGGTGATCCTCCTGCCTCAACCTCCCTAGTGCTGGGATTACAGGCAAGAACCACCACACCTGGCAGTTCCTAACATCTTTTTAAAAAGTAGAAATATAATAATTATAATGTATATATACATACACATATAATAAATGTGTGTATATATACATATATATATAGTATCAGATCCAAACGATCGCTAAAGTTATACTAATAAAGTTACAAGAATATATAATTTTTTCTGTTATGGTACGGAACAAATCAAATGACATGAAGAAAAGTGATTAAAGATAAATTAATTTCTTACCACTTTCCTGGACTATGAGGCAATCCTGAACAGGGCTTGAACGCTCAGGTACAAGGGGAGGATTTTTTTCAATAGGAACAAGAGAAGACAACTCTTCATTTTGGCTTTGGCTCATCAACTGCCTCTGGTGAAACCTAAAAATCAGTAACATCTGATGTCATCTAACAGAAACAAAAACAAACAAAGAAACCAACCAATAACAACAACAACAACAAAAAAACTCAGTCCTTTTGTTTCCTAGGTAACAATGTAAAAAAGGTGGAAGTTCACAACTTTGGGAGGTAGGTATTTTTAATCACTGGCAAATTACACAATCTTGAAAGCATTGGATAAAAAAGATTAAAATGTACTTTTTTTTTTACCAGTACGAGGATCGAACTCAGGACCTTGCACTTGCCAGGAAGGTGTGGAAAATTTACTTTTAACTTTTAGAGACAAACCCTCATGTGTGTGTGTGTGTGTGTGTGTGTGTGTGTGTGTGTGTATGCACCAACACTTAAAAGAAGGATCTCTGATTTTAAAAAGTACTTAAATGCTTCAAGCTATGCTTTCAGTGTTTAAAAACCCATATGAAGGGGCCAGGGATTTAGCTCAGTGGTGCCACTGCCTGCCTTGCAAGCGCAAGGTCCTGAGTTCGATCCCCGGTACCACCAAAAAAAAAAAAACAAAAAAAACAAAAAAACGGTATGATACAACTTACATGACAAGGACAAATACATTTTTTTTGGTTTTTTGGGGGGTTTTTTTGTACCAGGGATCAAACTCAGGTCCTTGCGCTTACACAGCAGGCGACGAAACCACTAAGCTAAATCCCTGGGCCCCAAATACATTTTTTTAAGATGCTTCCATCCTAGACAAGCACGTTATCACTGATCTATATATTTTTTTAAATATATTTTTTAAAATCTCATTTCTTCATAACATATTGCTTGGCTCTCCCTGCTCAAAAAGTGATTAGCAATAGCAGTTGCTGTGGAGCAAGTGCACTGCTTCCTGCAGGACTGCTACAGTGACAAGAGGCCCAAGTGCCCCAAAATTTGGGCCAACCTACTGGCCTCCAACCTATCACTGAAGAAAGATGGAGTTATTTTCACCTGTAAATTTAACATGCCACAAATAAACAGGCTTACCGCTGTTTGCTCAGAATCTTCTCTAGTTTGGCATCCTCTGCAGTTTGAAGGCCCAGTATAGAAGTGAGAGGACAAACTGTAGCCAGATACTGGACAAGCTGGATGTGTTGGCCAGGTCGATACGCTCTCCCCTTGCCTTGACTATACAGCCATTCAGCTTTCAAACTGGAATTCAGGAAAATAAAGAGGCGATGGTACCAGGGTGGCCAAAAGACCTGTTAAGCAACAGTGATCTTCCTTCTTAATTTACCTTAACAAAACTATTGGATGTTTTTCATAAATACAATTCACCAAAGTTCTTATAAAAATCTATCTTTCTGACTCACTTCTTTTACTGTATGTCTTAAACCTGTTTTCGTACTTAGGGGAACTTCCATAAGGTTGTACTAATGATTTCAAATATTTTTAAACTATTTTGAAAGAATATTCCATTCACTTTGACAAGCTGAAGTACGTACCTAAATAGACTGCGGTGGTTCAAGGCTCATGGACTTAATTCTTTCCATGATTCTGGTCACAGAATTCCTTCCAAGATTGTGGTTGCAACTGAATTATAATGACAGTTTTTTTGTTTGTTTTTTGGGTTTTTTTATAATGACAGTTTTTTAAAAAGCTAATTGGTCATATAGGATGCTAGGGAACTACCAACTCATTTTTGAAAACTGGTAAATAAAGAATGAGAATTTAAAAACAAAGAAAGCAAACAAAGCTGATAAAAGAGATGAGTAACTGATAGATTCAGAGATCTAATGGAGTCACCTTGGACATCCAGACAAGCTAAGCCTTCAAATGACTCTAGCTCCCTTTGTGTTATGATGGTAAGAGCCTAAGATCCCAAACCAACCAGCACAGACAAGCTAGGAAGTATGCAGTAATAAATTAATGTTTCAAGTCACTAAAAAAAAAGAACAATAAAGAAATTTATGATAGATATCAACCAATTGCAATGTATGGTCTTATTTGAATCTTATTTTTAAAATGCACTGAAGGGCTGGGGATTTAGCTCAGTGGTTCCTCCGCCCACCTCCCAAGCGCAAGGTCCTGAGTTTGATCCCCGGTACCAAAAAATAAAACAATAAAATAAAAAAGTAAAAATGCATGGTGGCACATGCATGTAATTCCAACACTTTGGGAGGCTGGGACGAGAGGATTGCAAATTCAAGCCCTGCCTAGGTAACCTACCAAGACTTTTTCTCAAAATAGGAAATAAAAAGATTGGGGATATAGCTCAGTGAGATAGACCCATGTTCAATATCCACTAACACAAAAAGTTTTGTGTGGTTTTTTTTAAAAGCATTTAAAAGCTGGTGTAGTGGTGCACACAGGTAACTGCAGCTTCTTAGAAGGCTGAAGTAGGAGAGGATTACAAGCCCAAGGTCAGCCTGGGCTACACAGTGAGACCCTGTGTCAAAACAACAAATTAAAAAATGTATTTAAGAGCTGGGGATATGGGCCAGGGATGTGGCTCAGTGGCACCGCGTCTGTCTGGCAAGCACAAAGCTCAATGTCCTGAGTTCTATCCCCAGAACTGGCGGTGGGGGGGGGGGGACGGGATGAGGACGGGACACTGAGTTTATAACTCAGAGATAACAATGATTGCCTAGCCTAACATGCACAAGGCCTGCGTTCAATCTCCGGCACTGCAAATAAATAAGTAAGCAAGCATTTATAAGGACGATTAGAATTGTAAGTTCTGATTGAATATCTAATGTTATTAAAGCATTACAGTATTATTTTTTCTGAGATATAATAATAGCTTTGTGGTTACATCAGAGAGCTCTTCTCTCTTAGATATACAATGAAATACAGATGATACATAATTTGATATTCACCTCAAAATAATACCAGAGAAGAGGGAATCAAGGTATACAAATGAAACAAGGTTGGCCACGACGATTGGCCAAGTTGAAGTTAGGTTATCACCATACTGCCTCTCAAATATGAGAATGTTGTCAGTACTAGTCCTATAGGAAATTCTAACTAATTTTCTCTCATATAGATCAGAGATTCAAGTATAACCATATTCTGCCCTTAGGACTAGTCAGTTTGAAACAAAATAAGATTTCTACTCAGAACAACTTGCTGCAGGATAAAGGGAAAGCTATCCTTTTTTGTGGGCAAACTAGACCATAGTCCCTCACCCTACACTAGCACCACTACTGTCTAGCTCCTGCGTGCCACTCTTCCTGTTCTCTGCTCTACTTAGCAACTACATGGAACTACAGGAGAAGAAAACAGAAAATGCTACAATCTATCACTCATCCTACCATCAGGAAACCCCTCAGCCTTTTTTTATTTTGAGACAAAGTCTTACTAAATTGCCCAGGCTGGGCTTGAACTTCCAATCTTCTTGCCCCAGCCTTCCAAAGTGCTGGGGTTAAAAAATGAGAGTCAGGGACCAGGGATTTAGCTCAGTGGTTCTGCCATCTGCCTCACAGGTGCAAGGTTCCAAGTCCGGTACCAAAAAAAAAAAGTGAGAGTCAGGTCTGGTGACACCAGTAACTACTTGGAAGACCTGGCCTAACTATTTGGGAGGCCAGGCCAGGAGAACAGAAACTTCTAGGCCAGTAGAGGCAATTTAGCAAGACACTGTCTTAAAATAAAATAAAAAGAGTTGAGGTTGTAGCTCAGTGGAAGAGTGCTTACCTAGCATAGGTTCAATCATGGGTTCTTACCTAGCTCTGGGCTCAATCCAAACTACCAAAAGAATAAAGTAAATAAATAAAACAAACATTATTAAAGTTATAATCATTTTTAAAGGTGAGGGAGAATGTACACGTTGAGCCCATGAATGCATGTTTATATGTAGAGTACAGAGTGAAATGAGGCATAGTAAAGAGAATAACTCATTATCCCCTCTACTTCCACTCTCATATTCACAGCCTAGTTCCCTATCTTCCCTACAGTTCTGATTCCACTCATCACATCCCAGTGGCCAGAAGACCCAACCCTATGGGCATACCAGCTCTGGACCAGAGAAACTATCAAAGACTGAGAAATGGGGAATTTTCCATTTGTATAGGTTCACAGGTGTGAGAAGAGAAGGACCAATCAGTGTGCCTACATTTTCCTAGAGTCATTATTATGAAAGGTAATTGGGTTCTAAGAAATTATTATTTCTGGGCCAGGGGTTTAGCTCAGTGGTGCTGCTGCCTGCCTCGAAAGCACAAGGTCCTGGGTTCGATCCCCAGTAATAAAAAAAAAAAATTATTTCCCTTACATATATGATGTTACAAACTTTAATGGGATTAATCCACAATCCTACACAATATCCACGGTTTCTATGCAAAAGTGTTCCATGTTCCAAACAAAAGAGTAACAAACAAACTTTTCAAAATCCAACTGTCATAAGTTAGGGGCTAAATTAGATTCATCAGTCCCAACCTTTGGAGCGATTTCTTGTCCATTTCAAAAAAGAAGAGATAATTCTAAATGACTAGTACATAGTATATATGATAGCACTAATGCTCTTAATTTCTAAACACGCATTTTAAGTAATATTCAATTTAATCTATAATAAACTAGAAATAGTCTTTTCAGTAATTTTCATGATTAATATGATGTTAAAGAGGTCATGTTCACCTTTCCTTCTGAGAAATAACATATCCATCTAAGACTCTGAGATTTAAGCACCAGCTGACGATATATGGCCGATAGTCGAACCCTGGAATGGATGGTGTTGCCATCACACAAGGATTATTCATGATTGATAACTGTTCCAATTCAGTTAAGGATGCCAAAAAAGAAACCTAGAACAAAGGATATCTGTGTTGAACAAAATGGAGTATTCAGTGTCAAGCACAGGGCTTCCGATGATTACACATCTTTGGCAGCATTTCAGAATGCATCAATTTCCCTCTTGTTCTGAAAAGCAACAAGTAATACTCTTCTATTAGCCACTAGTTTCCAAAGTTCCAACAATATGGTTATTTGTCCTTGCTGCACAGTCCCTTACAAAGTACCAGGACTATTTCCTAGCAGAGAGAACCCCATTTTGAAAATATAATAGCAGCCAGGGGAAGGTGGACAGGGTGCCCTGTAATGCAGATGTCCCTCTACCAGCCTCCCCTCCCAATGTGATATGTGCAACATTACAAATGAAAATTGACCTTCATGACACATGGACCACTGATATTAAGAAAAAATAGAAAGAAAAATAATGATCATCTACACCCAAGTATTTTATCTTGATAGCATTTTCTTCCAAGATGTTCAAGGTCTAAAAGTGAACTCACAAATCTCTCCTGTGTCTCTTCTGGACTTTCTAGCTTCCTAGACCCCATAAATAGCATAAAATTTTACCTCATTTAAGTCTCGAATTTCATTTTCTGCCAAAGAAAGTATAGCAAGACTTCTGGGTAGATAAGCAGGTGCCATTCTAAGAGAAGTAATGATGTTTCCATGTAAAAGCAGAGTCTTGAAAGTAAAAACAGTATGAATTACAAATGAATAAATCACAAATAAATAGATCTATACTGACAACATCAAAATGATATGTGTAAGAATAAAAGGATCTATTTAGTTATATTTCTCATTATATACAAATCAAAGATTATTAATACTTAGAAAGACCCCAGCTAGTTTTCTTGTTAACTTTCTTTTCACATCAACATCTTAAGCTGAAGAAAAATTAAAGATTTGTCCAAGAACACATGCTTGATATAGTAACTAGAATGCTGCGAGATAAGTTGCTAGACACAGAGCAATTTCCCATACACTTGTTCATTTCCTTTTAAAACACCAAAACAGTCTGGCATGGGGGCGCACAGCTGTAATCCTAGCGTTTAGGAAGCTGAGCCAAGAGGATCATCATGAGTTCAAAGTCAGCCTGGACTACGTAGTAAATTCAAGGCCAGCCTGACCTACATAGCAAGACCCTGTCTCAAAAAACAAAAAAACAACAAAAATTACAGGGCCGGGGATTTAGCTCAGTGGTTCCACCGCCTGCCTCACAAGTGGAAGGACCCAAGTTCAATCCCCGGTACCAAAAAACAAAAAAAAAAACCCAAAAAATACACCAAAATAGAGGGTCATAGAAGTGAAAAAACATTAAAACAATCATATATAAAGCCAGTTTTCCAAGAGATAAGAAAAATAAGCTATAACCCATACATTAAAAGTATATTCTTTTGGTAACCAAAAACTAAAAAAAGGTAGAATGTGCTACTTGTAGATGAACCTGACTCACATTAAGTCAGAAACAAGAAACTCATGAATAAACAAGACTATGAACACTCAGGATTGTAATCAGATAATCATTCCTCTATTTCAGGAAGGAAAAAAGTTCAATCATCTTTAGTTCATTTGAATTCTCTTAGCATCTATCAAGACTGCATCTGGCTACATTAGATTATTCAGAATAATTGTTACTAAAAATGATTTCTATTTAAGATGTAGACAAAACACAGCTAAGATACTATGCTAAGGTTTAATGAGTCCATCTGATGCTGATAATACCCAACGAAGCAAAAACACAGAAAAAGTCCTACAAGTTTTTTGAAGCCATGATTCTATTATACCATTGCATGATACAGTTCCTCTGTAAAAAGATTCATGTGTTACATGTTTATTTTCTAAAGTAAAGTGAAATTAATTAATTTTTTTTTTGTACCGAGGATCGAATTCGGGTCCTTTCACTTGTGAGGCAGGCAGCAGAACCACTGAGCTAAATCCCTAGCCCGTGAAATTAATTTTCAATTAATACCTATTCTACAAAATAAAAAACCTGTTACCTCCCACCAAAAAAAAAAAAAATTAGCCAGGCATGGTGGCATGTGCCTATAATCCCAGGAATACAGCATTCCCAGCTACTTTAAAGGCTGAGGAGGGAAGATCACCTGAGCCCAGGAATCCAAGACCACCCTGTGCAACACAGTGACACCCCATCTCCAAAGCAAAACAAAACCAAAACCAAAAAACATCCAAGCAACCAACCAACAAACAAAAAAAACCTTAATCAAGACTGGTTATACTCAAACATGTTATGGACTATATAACCAAAGTTACTAACATTGTGTTCAATGAGAAAGGAATTAAATCATGTTCACCAGATGGTAAATAAAAATTGATCTTAACCACAATGAGTAGTTTTACATAAAACAAATCAGTCATAGAAATTAACAATAAAGCCAGGCATGGTGGCACACGCCTGTAGTGCCAGCATTCAGGAGGCTGAGATAAGATGATCACCTGAGCCCAAGGGTTCAGACCAGCCTGGGCAACATACCAAGACTCAGCTTTGTTTTTTTTTAAAGAAACTAATAACAAAAAGTTCCATACTCAATTTCTGCTACTCTCTGAGAATTCTTATATATAAAATAATCTGTTCTTCATACACAGTAAAGAAGATTTTAGGCCAATCAGATGACTCTCTCTTGGTATTTTGCAATAAAATTTCTTTCTTTCTTTTTTGTTTTTGGAATAAAATTTCTTAAATGACAGAAAACATGCTTACCTTCAAGGATATCAATTTAGATAGATCACCTATCTGGTGTATGTTATTATCTGATAAATCTAGGTGCTGTAGAGCTGTGCAGCTGTTGATTTGTTCCATTGCCTACCACAAGAAAATTATCATATTAAGTTACTAAAAATAAAAAAATGAAATTCTTCCCTAGTTTCTTGTATCTACAAGGTCTCCTGTATCTTCTCATTATTCTTAGAAGCAGAGCTGAGCAAGAGAGAGGGGAGGTAATGCTAGTAAATTGTCATGTCATCGTAAGCTTCCACAACCATTATCCTTTCTAATAGTACAGCACTATCAAGCAGTTCATATCTTTCTAGATATTTAAAGCCTGAAGAACTTCCATGACATGACAGCTGGTATAGAACAGAGTTTTCAAGTTTAGAATGAAGTCAAACAGCCTGTAAATCCTGACTCCACATCATCCTAGATGTGGGACTTTGGGCAAATTATTTAACTTCTCTGTCCTTTAGTTTCCTCCTGTGTATATATAATAGGCAAAATAAGTACTGGTATATCTACCACCTAGGCTGTCATGACAATGAATGAGTTACTATAGATTAGGTGCTTAGAAGAGTACCTAGCATAAATTAATTGCTCAATAAAAAGGCAGCTATTACTATCATAAAATCTACTCTCCTCATCTATCATATCAAAAACTAAGAGATAACTTATTAACTTACTCACAATAATCTAGTCACTAAGAGGTAAAAGCAGGACTAAGATCTAGATCTGCTTCTCCATTATGCCATTAAACATTTATTTAAAGTTTAATTCAGCAGGATACTGCTTTTCTCACCATTCTATTGTTTGACCTACTTTTTTCCCAAGTATAATATAGATTCTTTGTTCACATTTAAAAGAATACTATATTGTGTTATGTGTTTCAAAATGGGATTTTAAAAAATTATGTTAGAGATTATCCTTGGGGTGTGGAAATGGATACTTTCATTTTTTTTTTTACTCTACTTATTTCTATACTGCTTGAATTTCTTTTTTTTTTTTTTTAAGAGAAAACAGATTTGTAATTTTTTTTAATTACAAAAGAAAATCTTACCTTGAGATTATTTCCTGCCAAATTCAGCCATTCCAAATGCACTAGTTCCTTTAGCCCTTCCACATAGCCAATACTATTATGAGGCAAATTTAATACACAGAGTTGGGTAAGTCTGGCCACACCCATCATCCGCACCAGCCTATTATTAGCCACTGACAACTGGAAAGGAAACATATCATTATTCCTAGGAACAATATACTACTTTGGGTACAAAAGTAGTATATGGGTACAAAACTTTAAAAAGCTAAACATTTCCCAAACAATCAAACACAATTTTTACTTTTCACATTTATTACCTAAATCCATTACCATTACTACTATTTGTTGTTCTAAGCAACTGAAAATACACAAAGCTGACTGATCAGACCTCCTGCTACTAAGTATTAAAGACTTTTTTAAATACACCAACAAGAGGGAATAACCACAAAAATGGGGTCCTCGTAATGTTAGTCAAAATCTTAGAACAGTGCCAAGCATATAAAAGAGAACTAAAAAACACTTCTTAAATGAATGAATTCTTTACCCCCAACATTAGGTAAATAGTTAGCAACACACTATTTTTCCAACATAAAATGTCTTTTTTCTTCAACAATGCTTCTTTCTCTAGTCTACTCTAAATGTAGCACGTGTTTATCTTCAGGAGAAATTGTCATGTAAAAGTTTAAGGCAACATTTACTCCTTATCGGGCCTACAGAGGTGCTCTTGGTCAGAATATTTTCTTATTTTAATAATGAATTAATCCTATGTAACTATTTCCCAGATAGCAACACCCACCTGTATTAATTGTTTGCATTTTTCCAGATTTTCCAATTTAATAATCTGATTTTTGTCCAGAATCAAGGTGTGAATGTCAGTTTCACATGGTAAGTTTGGACCCAATTTCTGTAGTCCTTGCCCTGACCAATTGACCACTGATCCTTAAAAAGACAAGATGGTTTGTTAGAAAACACAAATATAAGGCATGTGTGGTGGTACACACCTGTAATCCCAGCTCTTGGAGGTTGAGGCAGGAGGATCGATGCAAGTTCAAGGCTAGCCTGGGCTACATAGTGAGTTGAGGGCCAACCTGAACTACAAAGAAAGACCCTGCCTCGGAAAAATGAAAAACAAAAAACAAACAAAAAAGAAAATACAAATATAAAAGCCAAGCATAGAGATGGAATTATACTAATGAAATCTCTGATTCAGTTAGAAAATACTAGAGCACAATCAATATCAAGATTTTAAAACTAAACCAATCTTGAGTTCTAAATAACCACAGATTCAATTACTCATTTTCCTCAGAAATATCAAATTACAACTAGATTTGTGATATTTTAGTCAAGTTTGTATGATGTAATACTTTGGAATTGTTGACATTTAAATATTCACTTCCATATTTTACATCTAAGTAACAATGGCATTTTTAAACTAGAACTGAACTTTTGATAGAGATCAACTTGCTTATAACTAACGATAGGTACATCCTAAAGTGCCCAAACCATTCTGACAAAGTATATTCAATTAATTCACATATAAAATAGAGTAACACACCTATTTCACTAGATTGATGTGAGGCTTAGAAGAGATACCATATAACAGCACTTAATGAGGATCTTGGCACACAGCACTCAATAAAGCACTTCAGTTAACATTAACAGACGTTCAGATAATGGCTCCACCACTTAGCCATTGCAGTAATCCTGGGCAAGTTACTGTTCTCTTTTGAGCTCACTTTTGTACTCTGTACAACCCGGATGATGGTAAGACCTGCCTTATACTATAGAAGTTCTAAACAGAAAAATGAAATAATATAAAAAGAGAAAAAAGGAAAAATACTCAAAACATCATTTGAATCATAAAAAGTGGCTCTACAAATGTTAACTGCTGTTATTGTTAAATTGCCTCGGTGAGTGAGAGAGGTGAGATTTCGGAAAAACAGCTAGCAGAGGGGGCGGGGCCTTAGGAACTGCCAATTTCAAATTTATACCCAGATTAGGGCTGTTGCGGGAAATAATTAGGCGAGATTGCTCTTTGGTGAGCTTCAACGTTTTTCGATCTTTTAATGGTGCTTAGCATGTGAGGGGTCGGGAGCGCCTCCGAAAATCTGACGAAAGCTGTGTGGTAACCCAGAAAAGTGCACCTAGCCTTCTAACACTATTCCAAAAGGTTAACAGACCTCTTGTAACTACCGACCCACTCCTCCCTCAAGAATTTAAGGCTTCCAGGTAATCAGCTTCTGATTTAGGGGAAGAGGAGCCTCGACTCCTGCCCTGTCCCCGATCCAGACGGCAGCTACCAAACCTCGGAGCCGTAACCAAAACAAAAGGAGCTCCCGTCCCGCACCCCGCAGAGACGTCTCCAGGCCACTGAAGCACCCATACCCCTTGCTAGCTACGCACTGTCAACCCTAATCGCCGGATCGGGACTGCAGGACCTGGAAGAAAACCGTGGGCTCTAGTTCACCCCGAGATTTTATCACGGCCACTAGCCACTGCAAGGCAGAGTTGGGTGAATGGAGTCTGAGGAAATGTTTCCTGAACATTCTAGGAACTGAAGGGCAAGGGGGACGCCTGAAGCGCAGGAGAAAGACTGCCGATTTCCCCTGGGCATTCTTCAAAGTAAATGTCCAAGAAGGTCATCAAAACCCACCGCCCTGACAGACTAGCGAGAGTGGGACTGGGGGGCGCCAGACATCGCGAAGACTCCTGGGAGCTGAAGTCCCCGGCCCGCGGACTCGGCGCCGCTGCGGAGCTGGCCAGCGCACGGGGACTACAACTCCCAGAAGCAAGCGCGCCTCCGCGACGCCCACAGCTCCGTATCAAAAGAACTGGTCCAGAGCTGCCCTTCAGAGTCTAGGCTTCTTCTCTCCGCCAGGCAACTATTTAGTTTGGTTCCGTGGAGTAAATCTTGGGATTCAGGGTTGGGGACTGCCTTACCTTCTCCTAGAGGCAAAGCCGAGTCGGCGCGCGCCACCGCCATACTTGCCGCTTGGTAAGAACACCACGCTACCGTCCTCCTACGCTTGGTGGAGCTTGGAGTGGGCGGGAAGAGCCGGAAACTATAACTCCCAGGATGCACCGCGGCTGATGGCCCGATTGGCTGCCTAATGATGTAAACCCCGTCTCCCATCTGTGTGGTGCTGAGCTCGGGGAGCTTAGTCACCTACCCTATTTGATGGGTGAGCATTGTTAGATGCTTACATTGTTAGATGTACATTTCACTCCCTACATTGTTAGATGATCATTTAACTCCCTGTTCAGGTGTTTGTGAAATTTGATACTTTTATCACTGGGACCCTATAAGAACGTTACTTAACCGCAGACCAAATTTGAGAGCTCACTGCTAGAAGTCTCTAGACGCTGCCCCTTTTGATAATTCCGGGTAAAAGGTTTCAACTCTACTATAAGAAGGACTGAGCGATCTTGTTGAGACAATCAAAATGGAAATGTCTTATTTGAAAATTTTAGCTAATTAAAAGTATTTAAAGAATGCTGAAGTAAAAATTTGTATACCGTATTTTTAAGCAGTTATTCTATATTTAACAAGTTTTGACCTGGGAAAATATTTAATAAGTATGAACCCAGAATCTTCTCCAGAGTATTCAAAAGAAGATTAAAAAGTCAAGTCTCCAAACTCAGCAGTTACAATAACCAGTTGAAGGAAAGTAGGATCACAGTTTTGATGTAACTATTACATGCTAATTGGTATGAATGTACTATAAACTCAATAAGATCTCAAGAAATGCAGAAAGGAACAAAAACTATAATCGTCAGAGGAGACTTGATAGAAGTGACCTGAAGCTAGAGCTTAAAAGTAGACTCTAAAACATCTTAGGTGTGAGTGAAAGAAAAGATGATGGCACCACTGCTGGTGAAGGCGAGTGGTAATGAAGCTATGCTCACAGGAAGTGAGAAACAAACCTGCCCATACCACAAATGTACAACAGGATCTTCTGCTTTCTACAGTGAACTCCCCCATTTCTCCTCTTTCTGAACTGCAATCTCCAAATTTGGGAAAATCCAGTAACTCAAGCTTCTAGATTTTCAGGCACATTATTCTATGAGGATCCTCTCGCCTTCTTTCCCTCCCTGCCCCCCCACCTCCTCTTCCATTTCCTGATAGTTTAATGGGAAGACGATTTTCTATTTCTGAAAAGAAAATAAAGATTATTTTCCCATTTGCCAGAAGACCCTTTACCTTTAGAATACACAGTCTTACACGTGTAAGAACAAAGGCAACCTATTGCCTCCTACTAATCCCTGTTCTCTGTGTGAACCTAAAAACAGAGAGAAAGATTCACCAAAGAAAAATGGTATTTCTTTGGGAATAGCACAGATTTATCATGGAGCTTTTCATGCTGTGGTAAAATATGGGCATATTTGAAACCAAGGGACTCCCAGACTTAACTCCCTCAATCTGCTCTTAGTTAACCCCCAATCACCTTTCCCCACACCTCAGCCCATACATATCCAGCAATAGCTGAAACAGACTTTTGTCTGGTTCGCCTGTCCTGGGATCCCGAGGAAAGGGTGGAAGAACTCCTTTTAACAGGAATAATTAAGCATAGTCATGGCTTTTAAAGAGAATGGCCAGATGCTCCTGGGCCAGGTCCTATATGGCCAAGTGACCCAATAGCACTTCACAATCACAGCACAAAACTTCTTTTGCACTTCAGATATTTTATAAGTGTGATTGAAAAATATGGTGAATGTTTAAATCAAAATTTTAGTACAGGGGCCAGGGATTTAGCCCAGTGGCAGCGCCTGCCTCACAACCACAAGGTCCCAAGTTCGATCCCCAATACCAAAAAAAAAAAAAAAAAAAAAAATTAGTATAGTAAAAGATACATTGCCATTAATCCTTTTTAGTTCAAACACCCTTAGCACATTGTTCTTACCACTTTCTGAAGTAATTCTGGAAATCCTCTTTCATGTCTTTAATTGTGCTTTTGTGGCTACCTTGATATCCCAAAGTGATTCAAAACTTTTACTTTTCATGATCATTTTGACTTTATGGAAGAGCCAGAAGTTGCACAGTGCTAGATCTGGCAAATAAGGTGAACGAGGACACACTGGAATGTTCTGAGTCTGCCTTTTGTTGGATGGCACTCAACAGCAGCATTCATTGTATTTTTTATCATACCTCATAAAGACACCAAAGAGGACTTCCAGAACTGCTCTGAATATGATAAGAACAATGGGCTAAGTGTCTTTGAGGAGGATTAATGACAATGTGTCTTTTACCATAATAAATTTTTCAAAACATTCACCATGAAAAAATTTCACCTTTTTAAAAAAATCACACTTCATACATCTAAAATGAAACTACCCTTTAAATTGCCTCATTTCATATATATGTTAAACTCCAAAAGTTCTGAACAAATTGAAGTATTCTACTGAAAAAAATTTTAAGCCTCTTAACAGGATAGTATTACTCCAGCAGGCCCGGGATCTACAAAAAAGAGTCATTTCTATAGGTACAGGATACCTGATCACCAACAGCTGATCTCCTTAAATCCCATCTGCCACCTCTAATTCATCTGCCCACTGTTACAGACATGATCTAAGTTAAACAGTGCCTTTTTGTATTAGTCCCCTCCTCCAAAACTTCCCACTTGCAAGTCAACTTTTCAAAGGCCAACCATAAACCAGCCTCACCTTATTTTCCACCATTCACTCCCATAGTTTTTATCTGAAGTTTTTGAGGGTCTGACACAATTAAACTTGTATTCTAGAAAAGTTAGACTGCTCATATAACAAAGTTGAATTGGAAAGTAGAACAGTGGCAGGAAGGAGACAGTTGTGATAGCAGATGTAACTTTCAACAAAAAGGTTGCAAGGGAATTATTATACAAAAATTTAGATAACACAAAGGTAAGAGACTAGGTAGATTAACTGGAACAACATTTGTGCATGGTGCAGTTTACAAAATAAAGGTGTTTTTCTTTTTGATGTTTTCCTAATTAGATTGAATTTATATTTGAAAGAAGCAAATATAATAACCTTTAAGTTTCCAAGTTTTAAAACTAAGTTATTAATATAAAGAATTATAATACTGTAAAGATTTAGAAAATCTGCCAATTTTTTACAATAAATCTTTATGCATTGGTTTAAGTACATAAAATTACATGTTTCCTTTTTTAGTTAGTCTTGATTGGTAAACCCTTATGGTCTTGTACCCTTATCTGTGTACAATGGCATGGAAAGAGAAACAGCCACTGTGAAATATCTGTTCACAATTTATCTAGAAACCCCAAATGACCATTAACACTCCTCATTATATATCTCTTTCTATAAGCTAGGCTTTGGAATAATTACTTCACACACTTGCTCTAATTTACATAAAAGCCCTGCAAGTGGATCCAAAGAGGTTATGTTATTGTTGCTGATAAAGTATAGGACACCTAGTTAAATTTGAATTTTCAATAAACAAATAATTGTTTATGTATCCTGAATAGTCTTATAAATTGCAACAAATATCCTGCACAATACTTGAAATAGTTACATGTAACAATGGGGACCTATTTATACTTAAACTTTTTTTAAAGTGTTTATCTGAAATTTAAATTCAACCAGGTATCTTGTATTTGTTTACTTATTTATTGTGGCGGATTGACTGATGGTCAACTTGTAATGCCCAGCTGAACTGAATCAGCGTGGTCTGGGCGTGGAGGATCCACCTGAAGATTGTTGCCAATAATAGCCATACAAAAGAACTGAAGAGGAAGATCTTGGCCTGTTGATTTGCTAGGAGAACCTTGCTGCGGATGGTTTTCCTGATGTGAACTAGGCTGTTCTCCTCAGAGGAGGAGCTCGGGACCTTGCTGTCACTGGGAATGGCTGCTGTTTTCATCAGGAGAGCTCTGATCTTCACCATGAGCATCACATGCTGGCTCCAATGTGGATCCCTCAGCTTGGTGGCGGAAATCCTTCATCTCACCAGTGAAGATTTTCTGGCTTCCACCACTGGCCTTTGGGGCCTTCCAGGTGTAGATCCTCAATACAGACAAGCATGATACATTGCCATGGGCTCTAGACCACTGGCTGGACTCAAGGAGGACATTGCCTTGGACTCTAGGCCTTCAGCTGGACTTGTATGGGGAACGGCTGGGATCTAGGCCCTCAGTTGAATCCTTTGGGCTTCTAGTGTGCGGTTAATCTCTTGCACCCCTTTGCATTTGACTCTTTGGGTAATTATCATAAAATAACCTTAGGGTCGGGGATTTAGCTCAGTGGTTCTCCCACTTGCCTCACAGGCACAGGGATGGAGGGGTTGAAGGGAGGGCAGGGGAAGGGGGAAAAATAAGAACCAAGAGGGATTATGTAAAGGTTCAAATTTCCAATGATGAATGTCATTATATTGTATACCTAAAATGTACCAATGATTAGAATGAATAATTGATAATTCAAA